ATCTGTTACATTTGGGCAATTCTGGAAAAAAAAGATCTTATTGAAAACTTTGACAAATTGATTTTTAATACTATGACTTCCCTGTTTTCAGTACACAAGCAAAATTGACTGTAAGGAATCAGATGAGCAGTAAAAGGAGAAAAACTTATTCTAGCAGAAGAAGACTGTAAATTTTTTAAATTCTTTTTTTTGCTGTTTTCAAGAAAGAAAAGTGAAGGGAAACTGAGGAATAAATACTGAAAGTACCTTTCTGTAGAGCATTTGAAGATTTTTGAGTGTCAGAATTTTGTCTGATTCCCATTTCGTTTATTGTTCTTACCTGAGTTTGAAATTGAAGGTCTAGAGCTTTTCCCCTCCACATGTTGTGTGATCTCAGTGTCACTCAGGATGTTTGCAATTGATTCTCGCTTATGGTCAACTTTTCTGAGCAACTCTTGCAAGCAAGTAGATTTTTCAGTGACATACACTGTTACAGCCCCGTATGGCAGTCTTCTAAATCATTGACCAGTATGCTATATTTGTGAGCAGCATAAATTAATGGTGCCTTTAGTTGTTCTGTTCTTGGGAGGTTTAATTTGTTTCTGGCTAGAGTAATACGTATATTCTTATGAACTAGAAAAGCCATGGAAACTCATCGTTTAGTACACTTTTGAATTTTTGCATTTGAGATAATTTTTTTTCCTTTCTCATCTACCTCCATCTTCAGGTTGATCTAACATGGGAAGATGCTTTGTTCATGTTTGAATATTTTAAGCCTAAAACTCTTCCAGAATTTGATAGTTACAAAACCAGTACTGTGTCTGCTGATTTGGCCAACCTTTTGAAGAAGACTGCTACAATTGTTCCTCGAACAGACAAGCCTATGCTGAGCCTAGATACTGTATCTGCCTATATTGAAGGAACATGCAGCAAGGTATAATTAACTGCTTAAAAAAAAAATATTGAAAAGAGTAAAAATGTATTGTTATTTTTATGTTGACGTTGAGATAGTTAGGGGAATGATTTATTCCATGATGTTGGATTTCCTCAAGGTAATTGCATTTAAATGAAATAAGAATGACACCACCAAAACTAGTTTTGGAATGGCAAGATGTAATACTGATTAATATGGAGTCAGTATGAAACGTTCATTAGTGTTTGTAACTAGGGAATGCTTTCACTCTCTTCATATTTAATACCTTCATATTCTGTGATGAAAAGGCTACTTTCACTACAAGGAAGAAGCAAGTGTGCAGCTTGTTTAATGTGAACATTTTATTTAAAACAAACCTTTACTTTGTTTTTATTTTCAGGCACCATCTCTCCCAGATGGTGCGGACTATTCTCCACCAGTGGTGACTGAGTTGTACTATCTTCTGGCAGACTATCATTTCAAGAATAAAGAACAGTCTAAGGCTATTAAATTTTACATGCACGACATTTGTATTTGTCCAAACAGGTCAGTATTTTTGAGTCCTGCTGCACATATTCATGCTGCTCACTTTTTTCAGTAAAAAAAAAAAACAAACCAGACAACAGAAGGTACTTATTTTTGTTTCAGGAGTTAAAAAAAACCCCAAACTAAAAACGCACGTGCAATCAGTTATCATACGTTGATTGCATAATTAAGGGCATCTCTAAAACAACCCAACAAACAAAACAAAAAAACAGAACCTAGTGTTAAATAGTTGATTGTTTTGAAATTAAAATCAAAAAATGAAAGGGGCAGGGAAGCTACATTAAAATCAAGAATAACTGGGAAGGGCAAGAAGCAAATCAGTATCTCTCTTATGCACATTTTGTGCTTTGTTTTTGGCATGTTCATACATGACAAGGAATGAAAAATGTCACTTTCAATAGCATAGCTATAGCACAAATAGCATTCTTCAGTGGATTAGCTGTTTAGGCTGACCTCTTTCTAAAAGTACTGATCTTGCTGCTAGAGAACTACTCAAGAGAATACAAGCTCAAGTAAAGTATTTAAGTGATATGTAAACTTAAACACCTTGTTCCTTGATGACTTACAACTTACTGAAATACCACCAAGATTAAGCTCTTTTATCTTAAAAATAAAGCATGTTTTGAATAACAGTCTTCTAAAATTAAATTTAATAATCTTTAAATTTACTGATTAAGTATAGGGTTTGCATATTAGATGTTAGCTATCATTTTATTTCTCCTTGAAGTTGATAGATCAGGGTCAGTGACAAAAACCCTAGATAGATTTGAGACAAGAAAACTATTTCTAAATCCAGTCACGTAACAGAGACAAAAGGGAAGGTAAAGGCACAGAGCAATTTTACATGTGAAATCTACAGAGGAAATAGCTCTAGTTTAATGTTACTGAATCTTCTAGTCTGGGAACTCTGATTAGCAGATTGCTAATTTTTTGTTTGAAGCCTGATAAAAAATTACCACCCCCTCCCCGTTTTCCTGTATTTTTGATACTCTAAAACCTAAATTCATAAATAAATGAGTGGAATGCATTTTCACTTTAATGTGTGACGTTCTGTTGCTCAGAAGATGCTTTATGTGGTAGCATAGCATTTTTACTCCAGTTGTATGGGATGTCATTTCTTCAAATGTCTGTATTACAGTTTCCCTTCCATTCCCCTCAGGAATCTGACTATCAAGGTCACTTGACCCAAAAATGGGTTTTCAGTTGAAATCAGCAAGAAATTACAAGCAAAAATGTGAGAACATTATGATTATTTCTTTGGTATTAGAATCACGGTAAGAAAAATTCCAAAACCATTGACCCCAGATGTTAATGTGAGACTATGGAATATGGCAGCGATTCCAGACTGGATTGTCAGTGATCCGATAAACACAGGACTAGATCCTGAACAGTCCCCTCAGTAAGCAATCTTTATTGTTCATCAGAATTTTCCTACATGAATGCATTTTGGTTTTAGTGATTTTTATGTTGGAAGATGATGATGATGATAAAGACCATTCACAGTTCAGCCCAGCAATACAAAATGTAATAATGGCTGTCTGCTGGCCTACAGAAATAAAGGGTGACAATGTTTGGGCAGGACAGCATGGTTACTGAGACATGAAATCAGTGGGAGTGCTGCCATTAGAAGTATAGATACGCTATTTTTGCATGGCAAATAAACCTTGTTTCATCTGCTTTTCATGTGTGACAATTACTGGGGACAGTGGTTTATTAGGAAACCATTTTTAATAAAATCAGTATGATTTGGGCTATACAGCCTCTGTTCCACCATGAGGGGAGGAGGAGATGCAGAAATCTGTTTTCAGAGAGCATATGATGAAAGGATGAGAAAGTTGCAGATGTAACAAAATGAATCTTATCTGTGCCATTCAGTGTAATGTTTAGGGGGGAAATTGTTCATGTGTTATGTTCTTGCTTGCATAGGTTTGATTCATGGGCTGGCATGGCTCTGGCTCGAGCAAGTCGTATTCAGGACAAGTTGAACTCTAATGAATTGAAAAGTGATGGCCCAATCTGGAAGCACTCTACTCCTGTCTTGAATTGCTTCAAGCGAGCCCTAGAGATTGACAGCTCTAATCTCTCCTTGTGGATAGAATATGGCACTATTTCCTATGCCCTACATTCTTTTGCATCCCGACAACTTAAGCAGTGGAAATCAGAACTCCCCCCTGAAGTTGTGCAGCAGGTGGGATCTAACTGAGAGCAGTATGAAATTTTAAATAATTTAAGTGATTTTTTTTCTAACATAGTAACTTTTAAAATTAAATACTTACATGCTGTATACCACATATTAGACTGTATAGTTACTTAGTAATATTGGAAATTCTAATATTCATTCATATAAGCTGCTGGTGTCGAGCAGTATTTAAAGGGTTTTTTCCTTTCTTTTTCCTGTGTAAAATTAGTTTGAGCCTGATCTTTGAATTATCTTTCGAAGGTGACACAAAATTATTGTAACCTTCTGGAAAGGGGAATTATATTTGCGTTACTTTTCTGTAAATGTCATACAGTGTTTCCAGGGAAAGGTGAAATGTATGCATATTTAAATAGTGAAAAGATGAGGAATTACTCTGATATCTGTGTCCATATGTTATCTCTTTTATCTGAAGACGTCCTCCCCCTTTTCTAGGTTTTTGGCCTATTTACTTAAACAAAAGATCAAAATGAGGACATTGATAGAATTTTCATAGAAAAAGGTGTTATAAATTCATTAGCTCTTTACTCATGATGATGATGAAAAACTTAAAGTTATTACGAAGTTTATTGCTAAGCCAAAATGAGCAATTCTAAATACTCTCTGACAGTGATAAAGGTTGCCAGGGGAAATGTATTGTCTGTCTTTTTGGACCAGTAAACTCTATTTCTGATATAACTATTCTGACTTACAAATATTATGTAGTCCACAGCTGGAGTAGAATGAAAAAAAGTAGTGCTGCTCCTGTGTGTCTGCTGCAATTTATAAAAACTTACAGTGTTTGAACCACAGAGAATGGTATTGGTAGCACCTTTTTTTCCAGGAGAACTTATTTACAGCAAGGGGATGGGTCTTGCATTTCAGCTCCCTATATAACTGTATTAACATTGCACTTCCCATAGACATGCACACAGCATTTGAAGAAAGACAAGTAAGCATGCATATTAAAGGAGAACAGATGGTTTATTAAATAGTATGTTTGAAATGACAGCTAACAATAGAGTTTTCTTTCTGAGGCCTATTGCATTCCAGAGCTCCAGAACTAACTACTCAGAAAATGAAGCTATTAACATTTTATGCCTTTGATCTATCAAAAGTTTGGTCTTACTGTCTTGTGGCCTCTTGGCTATGAGGGATTTGATGAAGAATTCCAGGGATAATGCTGGAGTTAATTTGTATTTTCAGATAAAAGGTACAATACAGAGCAGCCCTCTTAAGTTGTGGATTAAGTCAGAATGTTTATTTAGCACTATGTGAATCTTCCTTTTTTTCAAGTGAATATATTAAAATGACATAATTTACTAGGAAAAGCTCTGTTATAATAAAAGATAAATTGGAACAATGTAATTCTTGGGATATATCTCTTCAGGAATGTGGTTCTTGTACATAAAAACCTTATTATTCTCTTTTTCTTACAAAATACTTAGGAAAGGAAAGGCTATGTTATAGTTGTTGAAGTGCAACAAGTGCTTAGGATACTGTTATAGCCCAACAATTTAAATTTATAAACTTCTTTTTCAAAGCAAGAAAATTACATTAATGCATATTTTGACCTAGTTTTTTATGTGACTTTATTGGCAGCTAACCTTAATTTATGCTGCTGGTTTTAATTTCTTTGGGGGAAATTCTTTGTGGTATTCTTGCCATATTCAGCTCAAAATTAGACACATTGCAAGCAAGATAAAATACATTTCTTCACAAATTATAGTGGTCTGTAGTGGCTCTAGCAGACTTTAATTGCAGAACAAACCAATTTTTTTCTTTGAAGAGTTAGGATAATTACAGTTCTGAAGAAGCGGTAAAATTACTTTTTGTAGACATGTATATTGATTTATTATTTTTCAGATTTGTATTTGTATGTGTATTCTTATCCTTCTGTCTTACTGTTTTGTTCTGTTTATTAGTGTCAGCAGTTACTGGAATGAACAAAAACCTATCCTTAAACACATTTTGTGGGCCATCAGGGTGTATTTGATAACTTAGATATGTTCTGTGTCTTTTAGGTTGAAAATGTTTTAAATGATGTACCTCGTTTATGCACATTTTTATGCAAGAATGTATTTTTAGACTTTTTCATCCCAGCCACAGTAGATTCATGTATTCTCAACACTTCACTCGATCACAGATGGGAGAGCGTCGAGACAGTATGTTGGAGACAGCCAAATTGTGTTTTACGTCAGCATCTCGCTGTGAGGGAGATGGTGATGAAGAGGAGTGGCTTATTCACTACATGCTGGGGAAGATTGCAGAGAAGCAGAAACAGCCTCCTGTTGTCTATCTGCTTCATTACAAACAGGCAGGTCATTACTTGCATGAGGAGGCTGCCCGATATCCAAAGAAGATTCACTACCATAATCCACCAGAACTTGCCATGGAAGCGTTGGAGGTAAAAGCAAGTTAAATACATAGGCTTGAAAACAGTGTTCTCTACAGATAATGGAACACCAGTTATTATTAGTTCATATTATTAGGCATATGTATCTGGTGCTCTGCATCTGGGAACGTTTACAAGACTAACTTGGAGAATAAAATGGAGCCTGTTATTCAGGTTGGTTTTGCTTTAAAGACAGTTTATGTATACAGTCTCAGTATTGGACAGACAGACAGAAATTCCACTTCTGGGTTTTTCTGCACACAGTTCATTAGTGAGTTTTTATCAAAATCAAATGTGGATAGGGTTTACAAGCATCTCATACCTGTGGAAGCATAAGTACATGCATGAGTTGGAATAGTAGTCTTAACCTTTGCTTTCACTGTGTTGTCTGGTAAGAATAGTGGATCTAGAACATACCCTGTGGTGACTTGCTTCCAAGGAAACCAGGTCTGCTTTCGTTGTTGTATTCCATAGGTTGCAGATAAAATATTTTTACTGTTCAGATCTTGTAATGTAGAAGCAACTTTCAAAGGCAGGAAAAGTCCTATTCAGGTAAGTTTAGGTAACAGATGTCTGTCTTTAACTCCTGCAATTTCTACAGAGACGAGACTATTTGTAATAGATTGTAGAGCTATGAATTCTGTACTGACCAAATGGACTTCGGTGTTTTGTAGGTATACTTTCGACTTCACGCTTCTATTTTGAAACTTGTGGGGAAACCAGACTCCGGAGTAGATGCAGAAATACTAGTTAGTTTCATGAAAGAAGCTTCTGAGGGACCATTTGCCAGGGGTGAGGAGAAGAACACCCCAAAAGTTGCAGAAAAGTGAGTGCTAATTTTCAGGAGTATCCTCTGAAAGCATACTTATAAACTACTGTATAATAAACTATTAAAATTAAGCTGATTGAAATAGAAACAAAACAAAGCTATCAGAATTAATACTAGTACTTACAGGTTTTGGGTGTCATGAGCAGTAAGATTATATGCTACTCTGAGATCTTCTCAATAATTGGCACAGTGTAGATGGGAAGGGAACAAAATAGAACAATTTTGATCTTCTGATCCATTTTGAAGCCACTGTTTTTATTTATTAATTTTTTTATCAACTGTTAAAAAATACAAAAGCAAATGGCCTATATTTTAAAGGATAAGAGACGTTAGTCCTCACAATTTGTCTCACTAACAACTACAAAATAAAGAATGTTTTGCTCTTGACCAGTGACAAGGGAGGAACATAACCTGTAAATATATTAACCTATAAAAATCCATCATTTAGAATTTGTTAGTAAGATTTGATTACTGTATTGGAAATGTTGTAAGAACAGGTAGTCTTGTTTTGTTCTTTGTGTATGTCCCTAGTACATTAACACTTCATTTTTTTTAATTGCCCCCCCCAAAGGGAAAAAGCTTGCATGATTGATGAAGACTCTCACTCTTCAGCCGGAACAGTGCCAGGCCCTGGGACTTCCCTCCCCTCATCCTCCGGTCCAGGTCTGACATCCCCACCTTACACAGCCACTCCAGTTGACCACGATTACGTCAAATGTAAAAAACCCCGTCAGCAGGCAACGCCGGACGGTACAGTCCCTGTTCTCAATACTGGCAGCACAGGGAGGTGCTCTAATCATGGGGGGTTTGACCAGGAATGATCAAACTGCTCATTTCAAGGAGGGTGATGGGTCTGTGGTAACACGGGCAATATTGAAGCTCATTACCTTTATAAATTCAGTGCCTTAAATAGAATCAATGTACAGTCAGAGCTTTAAATACAAAATTCAGAGTTGTCACCTGCCACCGTTGGCACCTGTCACTTAGTCAAAACAGGAATGTCGATAGGAGGAGCATATAGCCGACTGAGTTTTCAGTGGTTTGTGGTTTTGTTTTTTTTATTTTCCCTCCAGAGCTAAACGTCTGTGTGAGCTTATTAGGAAAGATGTGGGTTCAGTCTTTTAGAAGACTGGACACTGTTTCAGTGCCTGTGTGAAGTGACAGGTGAAAACTTGAACTGTGGCTGAAACAAGACAAATTGTTAAAAAGGCAAAACAAAACAGTATTATCCTTTTTTGAAGGAGGCAGGTGGCAACTATTTTGAATATATTGTGTATCAGCACGAAGTGATTTGCATGGCAGTCCAGTAGACTTCATCTTTTAATTTTTCTTTATCATTTACAATGACTGGTTAGCAGCTCATCTCTATAGAATATAAAGTGATATAATAAATAATTGGCTTATAAATGCAGAAGGCGGGGTGGTATCACAGTGTTACTGAAGATTTTGCAATATACATATGTAGCAGAAGTTAAGTTACTATTTAAGTAACCTGACATTATTATTTGGCTAGGAATTTTATTCTGATTCTGCTCTTCTGGCCATTTTTTTATCCGTCTGGATCTCTGAGTATCAGCACTCAAGAAGGAGTAAAATATCCGCAATGTATAGTTTAGTGTTGGCAGAATGTGGCAGGGCCCACAGAAATGCTCTGCTTGCTGTGAATTTATTTCTGGAAGGTGGGCTGCTTCCTATTGTCATTTTCTGAAGAATGGTAATTTGTAAATAACTTTGTTGACATAGTTTTGGAACAAATGTTCATATGCCCGGGAACTCTGCAAGGTGAATCCTTTTCCCCAATAATTAATACTTGGTGAAACTGACAGAAGATCCTTCATCTCTTTCACTAAATTGAATAGAGAAATGTTCATTTTATATGCTTACATTTCAATCAGGAGTAATTCACTGGACTCTCTTGATATCATGTGTAGTGTGTTAGTGTGAATGGGTTGTGTAGTGATCAGGCTCTTCTATTAGCCTTTTGATGTCTTTTGACACAGCAAACATGGAGGGGAGCGAATATTTCCTAAATAATACTCCCTGTGAGAAACAGTTCTGCCTAAGACTACATCTGCTTAGGTCCTGGACTGTTGAAATGTTCTCAGGAGATACATAAGTTAGATAAATACTCCAATGTGTGTCATTAGTACATTCACTCAAAGTAAGATATTATGGACTATGGCATGCTAATTGCCCGATGGGAGCAAAGTTGGCTGCTAAGCAAAGCCTAAACGTGCAAGCTCAGGAACATCTACCTCTGCCAGGGCTGAAGCAGCAATTCTTGGATCTGCTAGCTTAGCCTAGCTAGGACTAAGCTTTGCTGCTGTCACAGCAGTTCAAAATGTCAGCTGCTGAAAAAAGTGGAGTTAGGGTGATCTTTAGGAAGGCTGCGTGTAACCATGACAAGTAGTATTGCAAAGTACTACATCATTCATAATGTTTTGTAGTTGCTGGCACAACTGAACTCTGGATACAGCATATTGAAAAGCCCCAGGAAACTGAAATATTTGCCTTGGGGCTGTTACAGATGGAAGGAGAGCTAACAGGCTAAGCAATGCTCAGAAGTCTTCCACTTTTATATTACTACATATACTGTGCTCCTCTGCATACATTTGCATTTTACCTGTATTAAAATACATACTTCTGAAGTAAAATGCTCTTGACATCTTAACACGTAATCACATCAGTGAAGAAAACTGGTGCCTGCATTTCCATTGTACCATTCCTAAAAATAGCAAGAAAATATCCATCATTTGACTACTCTTTTTAGATTTTTTTTTTTACCATTTTGACAGCAAACAAAACTTGTCTATATTGCTCACAGAATGAATAATTTGGCCTAAATTCAGCCTAGATATTTATTCTTTCTGAGACCTGACAATTCTCTTATTTACACTTACTCTTGTGTCTATATTATTGATCATGTAGGACATAAAATAAGAGCATTATACAGAGTCTAACCTACATTGTGTCTATATTATTGATCATGTAGGACATAAACAAAATAAGAGCATTATACAGAGTCTAACCTACGAAGTTCTCTTCATATCTTTTGACCATTTTTGTGTGCTGTGCTTCAAGAAAACATGAGCTGTGAGGAAAGAGAAAAGGAATTGGGATGTTTTGTCTAGGGAGGGGAGGACTAAGGGGAGACATGACAGCAGTGTAACCAAATAGTGTCCAAGGCTGTACAAAGAGTTAGAGGCAAACCCCCAGGATTTCTGTGTCCACGGGAGACAGAACAGACAATGTTAGACTTAAATTGCATTTTCAATCTAGGCATTAGAAAATAGTGTTAGAGTAGTATTACGAAATACTATTTAGCAAAAAAAAAGTGAAACACTACAATATGTTCCTGGGGATATTATAACACTGCTAACTTTAGCCTTGGAAGTCTTTAAAACATGGCAATACAGCCATCTGCCAGGAATGATGGAGATGTAATTTATCCTGATGGAAAAAGGAATGGACTAGACGAACTTTTGCAGTTCCTTCTAAGCCCTATTTTTTCTATTAATTTAATGTTGTTTGGGGGGGGGGGGGGGGTTTGTTTGGGGTTTTTTGTTTTGTTTTTAATAAGAGATCCAACAATGTGCTTTGTAGTGCAGCAAATTGTCTCATTGCAAGCAGGAGAGAATTATTGTACAGCCAGACATCTTTTCTTGAAAATATTGAGACTCTGATCTTCAAGCGTTCATCTGTAGATAGGTAAAGTTGTCAGGGCAGACTTAGTTTGGATATATTCTATTTAAATATGTCATTATAGTTCTGTAGCTCTCCAGCATGTTTTGCTGGTGGAAAGAGAAGACCAGGATATGCGGAAATTATCGTTGAAATCACAAGTTGAAAGCATTGAAAAGTTTTATCCAGTGAATGCTGGTGATACTAGTTTTAAGTCATATATTTAATGGAAATGGGAGAAAGGAACCAGTAAATACAGCTTGTGAAGTAACTAAACTTCTTTTTCCTCATGGCAGCTGCTAGCATATATCTCCTTCAAGGAGACAGAAGTATTGCTGAGTGGCAGCTGTTATTTGCTGGCTGACTAGCTGCTGTCATGTGTGTAAAGTAGGCAGCTTCCTTTCTCTTTTCTTGTCCTTCCATTCAGCAACATCTTTTCCTGCCTTCTGTTAATCCTGTCTTTCCTGTCATCACCCCTGCCTGTTGCTGTTTTATAACCCTTCAAAATAAAAACTTTTATTTCATAGTAGAAGTCTGAGGTTTAGACCCTATTTTCCAAAAGCAAAGTAGGAAACAAGAAAAAACGGGAACTCAGCGGGGAGCAAGACAATCGTTACCTGGTATATTTACACAGATAAATGGCCAGTGTTATATACCAAAATGGACATGCTCATTGTCATCTTTTATACAGGCTGGATGTATGTAGTCATTAAAGAATCACAGTACAGACTTCAAGCAGTTTAAATTTACCTCAGTTTTGTGCTAAGCATTAAAGTTAGTTCAGAAAGCAGTAAAACTATTAAATTAGAAAAATCTGAATGAGAAATCTGTTTCCCAAAAAGTGGACTGGGAGGTTGTTGTGAGGTCTTTTTTTTTCATGTAATATGGCTTTTATGTGTTGATATTCAATTCCATATTATTGTGGTTGTATGCAGATGATGTATTTAGTATCCATTGCTATTGCAGTGTTAAAATGTCTTATTGTTTAAGTCTCCATCCATGTCATGTAGTACGTTATGTGTAGTTAGATGTAATCGTCCTTTTTTGTGTTTGTCTTCGCCTAATTGCTTTTGCAACCAATATTGCCCGTGCTGCCTCTAACCTTTATACAAATCTCTGTTCCCCAGGCATTCTCTTCCTGCTTTTACCTGTCACGGCTTGCTTTTAATAATTGGCAAAACCTGCATGATAAACTCACCGGGAAAGGCTACTTGCTTCATGCTGTGGGAGAAGTCTCACTTCATAGTTTGTTGGTCTGTAATTCTGCAAGTGTTATGAAGGTGCACAGTTTTTTTTGTAAATGGGGGTTCTCAACATCCTGATGAGACAAAGGTGATCTCTGAGAAACATTTTGCACCAGGTTGTCACTCTTGCCAAACTAAATAAGCTTCTAAGATGGAGTGGATATTTATTTGCATAAAAAGAATGTCCACATTGCATTTTGGAGCATTGAAATCTTACCCTTCAAAACTCTCTCTCCAGCAGTTTAAAATGCAGTCTTTCTGTCTGCAGTACATATTCTTTTCTGGCACATGGTACTGGATGTTCAGGGGCTACATATTGGACTACATGAATAATTAATCAGATCCAGTTTATTGCAATATGCTCCATTTTTACCTTTCCCCAATTTAACCTCTCTCTGATTAGTAAAAGTATCACACCGACATTTAGTGTGAGATGATGTAAAAAGGATTTGACTAAATAAATGGAACGTTGATGAGATACTCTGTTGCTCTGCACTTGAAGACAGAAGAACAGCAATATAGGACTGCAAGTTACTGAATCAGTGTTCAGTGCAGCCAGACAAAGCATGGACTCTCATCTTTGACTCATGTTATAAGAGAACTCCCTTTAAACATTCAGAGGACTTGCTGTCCTCAAGAAATTAATCTGCTCCCATGCAAATCTCAGCAGTTCTTTTGCTTTTAATGATGTGCAAGTGCCTTTTGATACAGAGCTGAATGTTGTCTTCTGTTATGGGTGGAATCTGTTTGAAGAATAAGAATTGTGTGATACGTCATGTTTCTGACTACAGACCAATAAAGAAAGATGCTCATACATACAACTAA